ACCGATGCACATCGGGAGCAATTTAGGGTTCAGTGTCTTGCTCAAGGACACTTCGACATGCAGTGAGAGGAGCCGGGGATCGTACCTTTTGATTAGTGGACGACCCGCTCTACCTCTGAGCCACAGCCACTACTACTACAACTAAATTTAATTGTTATTTTTTAAAGTTTAGATTATTATTTGGGCTAAGATATAATATTTGAGGAGCTGAACACAAGCTATATTCACAGAGACTCCACTCTGATAAACAGCCTTGCATTAGAAAACAACCAAAGAGCTAACAGACAGACAGCTAAGCGTCAGGGAGAAGAAAACACTGAATTTGTGAAAAAAGAAGCCTATTAAGAGTGTATGTTTAGTAAAAAAAAAACATAATACAGAGAACTGTAGAAAATGTTCATAAAAAATATCAGGAAAACTCATCTCTGATGTAATATTTACAGGAAATAATCTGCTCAAAATTCATCCAAATCACTCGTTTTACACTAACTGCATACAATATGTCACTTAGCATACTCTAGCCTACTATGCAAAAGTTTCTGGAGAAAGTAATTGGACTATAGCCATTTTAAAAACATGATTTTAAATTAAATTATTCATTCAGAGATTTTGTTTTCTGTGCTAATTTGTGTCATATCGTTTAAACCATAATTTCGCGCAGCAGAGTGGGAAAAAATGTTGGTGACCACGTGTGACATGGCAGAATGGCTGCAAATGCACCATTGCTGGTAGTTACATCTAAATAAAATCCCAAAATATATATAAAATATTTACACTTATACACCTGATTTTGCTTGCACATGCTTCTTTTTTAATTGTCTCTCAGGCTGCTTTCAGAGCAGACTTATCATAGTAGAGAAGCACAGGTGTTACTAATAACATTAATGATAGCTATATTCTATTCAATTGTCCCAGTAAGCGAGTGTGACAGTGTGACAGTGAACCAGCGTGAACAATACCAGGAACCCTGAAACTGAAGCAGCTAAATGGAATTCAGCCATTTTATTATTTACACTTGTCTTCTGGGAAAAAGATGTACTGAGCAAATTATCCTAATACATCTGAACAAAATGGGAAATTCAATAATTATGAATTCCTGCTTTGTTCTATTTCCAAACCCTATGTTCAAAGAGTTAATATCAGTGTAATCCTTTAATGAGGCATTCAGTTAATTTATCTAGTAAAACATCAGGCTTAAAAGGTGTATTAAGTACAAATAGAAAGCTGGGTTTCGCTATCTCTGCCTGTGGCCATAAAACAAAGCAATAAAATAAGAATAAAATATATTATGTTTTATGCCTGTAAAGAGTTCACCCTGTCAGGTGTGTACTCACACACACTGACATTTAAACACACATGCATAGGCCCCACCCACGGTAGACATCCCTCTGTCGCTGCGCAGCGATGTAACAAGATTAATTGCCAAAGGTAATCCAAAAATCCCTCGGCTTAAACAAATTAAGGACAGTTTGCCTCTCTGGGTCTCCACCCCTTTTTTCATCCATCCAACCATCATCTCTCTTTTGCCCCCCCCCCCATGACAGCTGAAACAGAGACATACACACACAGACAAACATACACATCATATTTCCATAATGAGATCTGATTTAGGTGGCGAGCTATGTTACATTAACCCTTTCATCTTGCCGGATTGCATAAACAGAGGATTAGAGAGGGAGACCTCTGTTTGTGTGTGTGTGTGTGTGTGAGTGGATAGATAGATAGATCTGTTAATACACCACTGGCTTTGACCTCCAATAAATAACTAAATAAAAAGCATTAAAGCAACAGTTCAGGTATGCTCATTCACTTTAGGTTGATGCTGGTCTCATGTCTGTACGGTAAATATGAAGCTACAGCCAGCATCTTAGCTTAGCTTAGTTTAACACAAAGACTGGCAATGGGGGGAAACAACTAGCCTGGGTCTGTCAAAGGTAACAAATGAAACATTACTTGGCCAGGTGCAGTAACCTCCTGTAGTCTTTGCTAGTTCCCTGGCAACTGCTCAGAGCCATGAAACATTCTGGCACATAACCCACTGTGACATGGCAAATTATCATTTTTAAACTTCAGTACAGATTATAGGATTGAGATATAACATATTGATTAGTGAGCTTTAGTGGTGCTGGTAGCCAGATTGTGTTTCCTTTGGACAGAACCAGGATAACTGTTTCCTCCTGTTTCCTGTCTTTATGCTAAACTAAGCTAACCTTCTTTCAAATACCATTAGGAGCACTAGGAGGAGCCAGAAGAACCTGATTTTTTCACAGATTATCTGTCTCATGTACTAGAACACAATGAAAATGTCAGCAATAAAGACAAAAAGGTATTTTTTATCAATATTGTTACCTACTGCAACTTAAGTGACATCCTTCATGTTCAAAGTACGTAAAAGGAAAATGTGAAATCATTGATCACTGAGATGAAGTTGTAGCAACTGTTTCGAATTCTCTGATTCCCAGTGGAAATAAACATTTTCCTCTGTGATGAACTGTTAAAGGACCAGTGTGTAGGATTTAGTAGTACATCCCTTCACCTTCCCCTTCCAAGCGCAAAGAAGAACGTAAGGTGGCCATGGAGCACACAAAAAACTCAAACTCAACAAAAAATCTACTGCCAGTGTGTGGTTTGTGGGTTTTCATTCATTCAGTTGGTGACCATCTTATAAACAGCCAGTAGAAAAACACATAATTAATTGTGTGTTTTAAAAAAACAACCAAATTTTCACTACTATATACAATGTAATGTATTGAAGATATATGGCAGATGAAAGCTAAGTTTGGTGTCAGGACAACCCTGATGGATAGTGTTTGACTGATACAGTAAGGGATTTTTCAAATAATTTTTATATGCAATATTGTAAGAGGGAAAAGAAAATCCAAAATCTGTTCTGCAGAGCCAAATATGTTCAATTTTAAAAAAAATTCAGAGGAATAAAAATGCCTGGCCACCCCAGCTGCCACTCCAGTTTGGTGTTAAATTGTGTCAAATTTAACACATTAATTAAGGTTATTTAAAAAAAAGAACATGTTAAAAAACAAAAATTAACACATGTGATTTAATCGTCTCTTATGGCCAGATTTGAGACTTAAGTTCAGTGAAAAAATGTATTTGGAAATTATTTTGAAAAAATAAAACAATGTATTGATTTTTAATGCCACCTTTAGATATTTCTATTCAATGCTTTACCAATGTGCTACAATAATATTTGTGAGTTCAAATATCTTCATTTGGGGGCTTTTACAAGCAAATATTGATATATATATAATATACAAATATTGTGATATGTGAAATTAGCATATATTTTTCGGCCATCACATAAAGTCTCCATGCCAGCCTCTGAATACTATGAACCATGAACATTTCTCTTAATCCGCCCCTTCATTTATGTGGCCAGTGGTTACAAATATCCACTGCTGTCCACCCAGAACTGTCTGAGCACAAAAGCCTAACAAATAATTTACAATTAAATGAATTAAAATATTAAAGAATGGGACCTCAATCATATTTGAGGTAAATTAAATTGAATGAATAATTGATGTCAAATAAATGTCCAATATTAGTGTAAGCACTTTAGATAAAAGCACAGAATGCTGAATCATTCTGCTGTGTCTGCCAGGACTTTGTATGTTGCATAATGACATTTTAGAGAATTCAAGTTCAAAACACCCCCAAATCAGGATGATGACCACAGTTGTTACCCTGGGTTGAATCAGATTTAGGCTGGACTGCTGCCAAAAACTTGCATCAGTTAGTCAAAAACCTGGCCAGGTTGATGTAGGAATACATGTCTGAGTCCAGAGACAGCAGGAAGGAGAAATCTAAGCTTGAAGCTAAATTAGACTGATATTTAAGTTCTAAAAATCAAATGTATAAAGTGATTAGCAACTAATGCAGACAAAAGCACGTATAGAAGTCTCGTCAAAAGAGACAGGATTTTTCAAAATAGGACGACAGCATTTTATATTAATAAGAACAATGTAATAAACAAAACTTATGTTGTGTAATGGCACAAAAAGCTGAGAGAAAAAGTTCTTTATGAAAATTACCAATCACCACATTATATAAAAAAGATAAAGAAAACTGAAAAGATCTGTGAGGGAGTCAGGACACAAAAGAAAGATTTTAATCTTCCAGCAAAGCAAAGGGGGTTCAAATGTATTCAGTAAGTGCAATTTTACTAACTTGATTTAAAGCTATAAACATCAACATATGTAGAATCTCTGCATTAAAATGTTCTTATGTTCTATATGTAGTTGAGCTGTGTACTTCCATTATCCCAAATGTTTCCAACAAAGTTCAAA